GTTTCCTGCATTTATCCCCATTGACATCAATTTTCAGCAAGCATGGAAGAAGGAGATAGCACAAGACGTAGGCATACAACGTGCCAGATACCACACGCATTTTGGACACTAGCTTCGGAGCTGAAACTCTACCCTACTGTGCGGCACTCGAGAAAAAAGGGAGAGAAGTCCAGTTTACACCAGTTTTTAATCATACGGCATTTAGTCAGGGCTAGCCTGAGCATCTAGTTTACCACCTCAAAGGTAACAAGTCTTCAGAAATTAAACACTCAAAATCAGTTTCAGATATTATACATAAAAACATGGTAAGGTGAGAAAAATCGGTCCTTTTCACGAGGGAATGCGTTTTTGCTGTTTCTAGTAGATACCCTGTTTTCCTTCCACATGTGCAGACACTACTAAATACAAGACAAGTACCTCAAGACAAGTAAATAGAAGAAAGACATATGAAAAACTATCTGGATACAAAACAGCTCCCGTACAAGCCAACTTGCCAGAAGCGTATTCATTATGAAAAGCACGTGGAGAGGCAACAATTTGAGATGTCACAGACAGTGCTGAAGAAACACAATATATAGATATTTCATTGATGGTTGGGAGGATAAATCAAGTTAAATTGCTCACAGAAGCAAACCTAAAGCATCTTGCTGTGAATCTAGAAAACTACATTTGTCGTCCCCTGGGAAAGATGCCATCATTTGTTTTCATTTCTTTGACTTCTCTTCATTTATGCTAGAGATTAGCTCTCCAAACAATGATCACAGCAATATAAAAACGTGTTCCCAGAGGAACGGGATGAAAATAATATTTACCAAACTAAACCCAAGTGAAGAAAACAAAATAGGAAGAACTAAGTTGAAAAAAGAGCAACAAACTACTTAGGAGAGTAAAATAAAACAACTTTAACTATCATTGAGCCACTAAACTTCCACCCCAAAATGTTTAGCCTCTGCTGGCAAACCCAAAGACAGAAACAAAAACAAAACAAAACAATCTGTCAGCAACAGTCTTCTGTATATTTTCGCTTTGCCCATATTTGTCAGAATTTATTAGCAACACATTTTTAATTTATTTTTCATTTTCCCTAAAGCAAAAACATTATTGCACTTTTTGTTTCTTTCTACTTATCCCATTTGTAGCTGGATACAATCCTACTAAGAATTTAAACAGACAAATTACTTTTTGAAATAGCATTATTCAAATTAAGTGGTTATTAGTGTTTTATCAGCATGTGAAATTAATAGGCAAGGAGTTCAAGCTTTTGGCAGTGCATTTCACCTTAGCTTTGAATTATAGCTTCCTTCATTTTAGTGTTTTGTTCTTAGGAGAGGCAAAAATAGAGCTCCACCTGAAAATTTATTCTACGGTAAGTTTAAATTCAGTCTTCCTCCTCAAGAGGCTTCCCCTTGACCTGCTCAGTTGATAAATATACAGTACACATTTCCTGTTCCGTACAATTTTTGAGGTTTCAGGACTGTTCTCTCTATGCTGTCGCTTGAGCCTAAAAATCAGTAGATGCTTTGCCTTATCTTTTTCACCTTGAAAAATGAGAAAGACCAGATTTCCAAAAAATAAAAAAATTAAAAAAAAAAATCAAGGAACGCACCTGAGGAAGAGGAGACCAAACCCATCCTGGTGTGAAATCACAGAGCAACTGGAGAGTCCGAGCAGGAGCAGCGAGGGACCACGGCAGATTGGAGACGCTCCCTTGGCCACATCCTTGTCCCACGCCAGGACTGAACATTGCTCCGGCAAATAAGCCAAGCGTTTAAACCTGGCAAGAGTTCCCAGGCAAGAGGGAAAGAAAATACTTTGCTTTCCATGCCCATTTGAGACAGAATGGACTTAAATTGCAGCAAGAGAAATTTATGGCAGAAGGGGAAAACCTTTCCAGAGAAGAGTGGCAAGGCAGGGGAATAAATGGCCTGGGAAACTCTGAAATCTCCATTTCTGCAGATTTAGGGATAGGAATTAGCCGCACGTCTGTCAGGAACAATTGCACGGAGCCGGGGCTGCTCGCTGAAGACAGGGAACGGGTTAGGCGAGCAGTGTGGTTTCTATGAATCCAGCCTCATTTCTGTGGCTCTTTCTACAAAAGAGAGCAGGATCTGCTTTACTCAAATACCCCTGAGAGACCCTGCCTGTGCTTAGCAAACACTGCAGGATCAAGCTCTTCCTTTAGATAAAAGTTTCTCTTCTGGTCCCAAGAAATCCAGCAGGTGGAAAGCTTCACCACTGCCAGCAGCTTCTTTCTAAAGGTGTCCTAGCTCGTTCTCACCAGCTGCGTTAGCAAATGCAAATACACCTACACCTGTGTTTAGTTCGGCCCCTTCCTGTAGTAGCAGGTTCAGACTGCTGACTGTATTTAGTTTCCTTGGTAGTCTGAAACATAGCAAAGATTTTCTCTCCCTTATGACAAAGAAAGGACATACGCATTAAAAGTCTTGCTGAAGATGTAGCTTTAATGTAGTTTTAGGTTTTTTTCTTTTTCCTGCAGAAGTAGCAAAATGAAGGCTGTAACCCAGAGTTTTATTAGCTTTTCAAAGACCATAAAAGGTCTTTCTAGAATTTTTGTTTCCTAACTCTGCTACCAGAAAAAGGTTTTTCTTTCCACAAAATCTCCCACTACACATGCTCCCACCCCCCCCAGCTTCAAAAGCCTAGTATAATTTGACCTTTTGCTGCTTTTAATGGCCAGATCATCTCGGGAGAAAGGGGAAACAGCCCTTGCTAGCAGCCTAGGAGCAGCCCTTTTCCAAGCCCTGGCCCAGGGGCAGGTAACTTGTTGCTGGGATGTGATCAGGGCAGAGCAATTAGGAGCCAGGTGCACTCCTGAGCTGAGCAGTGGCTGCAGGCAGGGGTAAGCCTGCAAAGTCAGGCTAACCCGGCCCTTACCACTGCGTTATTCCGGCGATCTGGGACAGGGGAACATCCTTCTCCTGCACCCCATCTGTGCAAGGCAGTCCTGGCAATACCAGTCCTTGAAAGTGAGATGGCAATCACGTGAAACAAGTGCAATCCAACTTCTAAGGACTGGTATCGCCAGGATTGCATTAGAAAACATGCTGTCCCTGAAGATTTGAAGATGAATAAAATTTGTAACAAAATTATTGGAATGAACTAGTAGCAATCCACCTAGGCTGCTATTTTCTAAAACCATTCTTAAAAAAAAAAACCTCAATGGGTAACTCAAGTTGGGAGTAATGAAATTTTCCTCTTGATTACCATCGTTTTAAAAGGTAAAGAGAGCATCTTGGAAACTTAACTCCTGAGTCATCAAAATCAGTTTATTCTGATATGTCCTTGTGCAGTTTTTCAGTTTTAGTAAACCTCGTCTCCTTCGATGCTTATCCCCTCCTAGTGTGACCAGGCAGAACAGTGATTTCCCCTTCCACACTGAATTCAGCTGGCCAAACAAACAAAAATCTGAGGGTCTTTTTTTTACTTTTCTCCCACCTTAGGACCTCCACTTCTCTTCTAGTGTCCTGCAGTCCTCTCATCAGGCTCAGGCCCTGCATCACCTATGGTATTGTAACACAGGTGACCACGATTCAAAACTGCCTACAAGCAGCTCTTGCCAGTGATGCAATGGTATGAATATCTGTCTATCCTTAAATATCTCAGCTAAAGCACTTTTGAAGTATGCATCCAGAGCAGATAGAAAAGTATCTATGTTTCTGAAAAGAAATAACTCATTCCCAACAAACGATATATGCTTTTTTTTGATGGGAGACTTTGCAAAACTTCCGTGAAGTCTACCTTTTGAAAGACCTGCCTATTTGTGAGAGGTTCCTGCTGTCTCACTGTACCACACGCGCAAGTGAACTGCATTTGTCTCTACATGATAATCCATGCATGACTCTGAGGTAGACACAGGTGGAAGCATACTGGGGTCTTCCAGGGATATAAAAATAATCATCACAACAAAGTCTTGAGGGAGCAGATATGACAAGTCTCCAGCCTGGGGTGATTCTCAGCAATGGATCTTTGTACAATGCAACATTTGTAAAATCAACCTGTGTCTGCCACCGTGCACTCCAGCTCACTCTCTCCCAAATGAATCCAAATAATAAATCTCACTTTCAGAGATGAGACCAAAAATTGGCAGCATCTGTTTAATCTGAGAATTCTAGCACTACAACATATTTTCTCACTTATAACTATATAAACTTTGGGTCAAATCTTGCTCTCGTAGAAATAAATGAGAATTTTTCCATTCAGAAGCAACAGGAATAGATCCACTGTAGATCACATTCTTCTCTACAGCCTAAGGTTCATCAGAAGCGTTTCTGAAACCAGAGTGGAAGAAAGCCAGAAGAATGAGCATGAGAGGAAAAAAAAACCCAAGCAAACATGGAAACATGGAAAACATGAACAGTTTTCACTAAAATTGTTTGGGAGCTTTGGCACTCTACACAAGTTCTAAAATATGTCTTATGTTAAGCGCTCGTTTGAATTATTTTGAGTTCACTTTTTCAAAGCATTAGAAAATACGCTTGATTAAAACACACCCAGCATACATCTAAAGAAAAATTACCATTAGTTGGAGAAATATTGGTATCACTCCTATCAAATAGAAGTCTACAAATCTAATGAGTAACAGCTGAAAAATCAGGACAACTGAGAAAATGATTACGATCACAGGCAGAAGAAAAAGGATAGCGTATTTTTCATGCAGTGTAAAGAAAAGGAATATACTGAAATTCAGTGGAAGCTGTGCTGATTTCCTCCACCTGCTTTATGTTATCGTCACAGTCACATAGGCTGCTCTGCTCTCAAAACGCTCATAACTCCAGTAGATATTAGTGAAAATTTGCATACAAATCAGGAGTGGTAGAAACTTATGGTTTCTCTTTGGTATATCACCTCTCGAGTAAAAACTGAGAATTGTATTGTTCTGTCCAATACTTCCAAGAGTTGAGAAACGTAAAAAAACCCTGAAAATTGGCTTAAAATATTTATTAATTAAAAAAAGTTAAATATTTATTTATACAAAGATGATGAGAAAAAAATCTCATGCAGACTCTTCACATACAATAACATAAATCATACCATGATGGTTTTACAAAATAACTTCTTCATAGTAACTTTTATGGAGAAGTGTTGCTATCACCTGCGTGCCTGAAAGCACCATTCACAGTAATTAGAAAGCTATTTCCGAAATTTATAGTTTTGCTATGAAACATATGCCAAGATTTTCACACTCTTCACTATGATTAACAATCAATATCTTATTACAACTACTCAGAAAACTGGACATAGACATATGAACACTGAGTAATGAATTCCTGCATACCACTGTACTTCCAAACAATTTATGTTAATGCATAAAGTTGCCAAAAGATTGCTTTAGATAATTCCCCTAAATGATGAAAATATCTTGAGATCGTTATGGATGGCATCTGTTTCTGCTTAATTACAAATCTGCGTTGGATTCATAATTTGTGTATATTACAACTAATTTGCATAATTAAAACAATTAAGGGATTGACATATCATGGCAATTAGAAATGCATCAAACTCTGAATGTTGTACAAAAGAGAGCTTCAATATGAAACATTAATTCTTTGAAAACAAAATATCCTTCAGATTCCCGCAGAACAACCTGGCTTCACAACTGTAATATATGATCAGCAATCTTCATTTAGAGAGTTTTTCTCAGGGATATCCGGTTCTTCTTTACGCTGCTGGAACTCTAACCCCAAATGCGTTTTTCTTCATTTTAATTTCTACTGCTGTCACAGCATTAACTTGTATATTTATTGCCAATTTCAAGAATTTTTATCTCATTTTCCGTAGCCTTATCCTGTTTTCTTTGTCCCTCTTTTTAAGAATAAGTATGAATTGATTGAAAAAATGCTCTTGGTCCTTCTTCTTTTGAACAAGTCGAAACCGCTGATCTCTTCCATATTTCTCTGCAAACTCTTTAAACGTTGTTCTGCAGAAAAGAAAGACATTTTAAAGTTGCAACTTTGTCAATCCATTTTCAGACTCTTTGACCTGGACGCCACGTTTAACTTTTGATAGAGATACTAAAAATAAGAATGCGTCCTGGGAAACATTTACAGCAACATCACTGCAATCCCTGAGACAAAGAAAGCAAGACCAGTGCCAAAATTACTTGTGCTTCTCATTCACTTGATCTCCTTGCAGTAGCTACTTTCCTTTTTGATTTTGAGAAATCTGTGTGATCATTTACCAGACAATTTACAATCATTAACACAGTATTTGTTCCACTGCGGGTTACTGCTGTCTCAATCTATCCTTGTCAGTGGCCTGTGCCCAGGTTTTCAACGATTAGCCTCTAATGGAGTAGAAAAACACCAGTAAGTAACTAATTAAACAAATGCATTTTGACTATCAGTAGCACATGAGACCTGAAGAAATACTATAGTAGCTTGATCTTTCTTAAAAATGGCAACAAATTAATTGTAAATGTGATTATTTATAGGCATAATAATGCAACTGAAATCCCCAGGGAGTTTCAGCTGAGCATCTTCTAGTCAGGTCCAACATTATCAAATGCAGACACCGTACCTGATAACAAAAATGTTCAGTCATATTTTTTTTCCAAACACCTTCATTAACTCAGGTAAACAGCTAACCATGTTTGGCCCACGCAGTGAGGGGGTACATTTCCACTGTCTCCCCCCAGAATTTGGCAGCGGAAGAGCCAGGCATTATCACAGAGCGGTACCATAATTCAATTAAAGACCAGTAACAACTTTTTTATTTTTTAAAAACTCTTGGACTTTTAAAATCACTTGGCTGTACATTTTTCTAGCAGCAGTTTTTAGATTCATTTTGTTTTAGGTTACATTTACATTCCTATGAGGAATGATGGAAAACTAGAGCTAACGAAGGAGTGGAGAAAAGCAACGGAGATAGGAAGGCCAGAAATTCCTGTGCTGTGCTCTGCTGCAGGTCTCTGCCCGGGTCAAAACCACTCAAGAGCAGCACGCGGTAGCAGAACCCCCCGCGGTAGCACTCTGGTGACCAGGAGCCACGTGCACAGACCAGTAAGTGGCGTCCCTCTGACTGTTCACGCCAGCTAGCTGGGTAATTGCCGTGGTAACTGCGTCCCAGCAGCTCCCTGGCGCCAGCCTGTTTCAGCAACAGTCCCTGCCAGTATCTCGTCTAAGCTGGGACCAGCACGTCTGACTTTCATCCAAGGGGAGGAACGAGGCGGAGCGAAGAGGCCAGAACGGGTTAGCGAGGCAAGGGAGGAGATGAGAGTGCGCTCTCGGTGGTGTGGAACGCCACTGGAGACAGAAGGGAGCAGGACAGAAGACCACGACTGAGAACGGTATTTCAGTGACTGCAGGAGGACTTACAGATGTGGATGAAGACAGGCAGGCAGGGAGACAGGCTGCCCAGGGACGCTATGCCGTCTTCACCCTTGGGAGTTTTCAAGACCTGACCGGATGAAGCCCCGAGAAGCCTGGTCTGACCCTGCTCTGAGCACGAGGTTGGACTAGATGACCTCCTGAGGTCAGGTTCATCCAACCTGAATTTTTCTATGACCCTATGAGTTTCATCTTGCAGTGGAGGAGATGATGAAAGCAGGAAAGGGGATGACCATTAACAGTTATATATAAACGAGTGCATAGTAAGTAAAAAGAGTGACTACCACAAAATTTAGTCAGAAGAACTGAATACACTTTATAAAAGTTTAATTATGAAAAGATCCAGAGTTTTACTTGATTAACCAAAGGCTGGATAGTTATATCAAACTGTTGTGGGGAAAACTTATAGTGACAGAAATGAAACAGTCATCACCATGTCTTATGTTTGGATTCTGAGCCTATCTAATTTCTATCATTTACTGTCTATGTCAATCCAGACAGGAATATGGAGGATCCTGGAGACATGCCAGGCCCTACTCACGTTTACTTTAGCAGTGCCAAGCCTGGTTACTCTGTTTACAGAGCCCACGTTGGGATGATTTACACTGCACATCTCTGTCGTTATATTGGCACTTTGCATCTCAGTTGCTGCTTCCTTGTTTGCTTACTTCGTCAAAGATATCGTTGAGTGACTGTGCTCTGCCACATGAATTTTGCAATATTTATTGTTGCCTGAATCTGTGCTCTAATTAGCGTGTAGATTTGTAACAGTCACTTCGGTAAAGGTCTGTTTTTCCAATTTGAGTCTTACTGCAGTATGAAAACAAAGCCAGAGATGACCACAGGCAGATGAGTTTCTCTGACTTTGGGCTCTCACATTTACCTCAAGACAAACATTAAGGCATACAATGCTCTCTGTTCCTGTAGGCCAGCATGGTTTTGCCCTTGCGGACTGAAAACATAACTGCTGGGGACAGTGTCTAGCTGTTACAGAAACCCTGATTATTCTCACTTTTGTTGTCAAAAACTTACTTATAATTATTTCCATACAGTCTGATGTGTTGTTTATATCTTTGCGTCTAGGCAGACAGTGCTGTACAATTATCTGCCTATTTTAGTAAGAGAAAACTGTAATTTCTTAGTTTCAACAATTTAACCAGAATTATAATACATCCATCTCTTTATTTTCATGTAATTTACAAATAAAAGTGTTATCCAAAGCACTGCATTTCCTCTTGTGGAATTTTGGATCCATGACTTAAAAAAAAAAAAAAGTAAAAAAAAAAAAAGAGTGCATTACAGGTTTTATTTTAATTTACTGATGCGTTAATAATAACTTTGTTAAATAATGTTTCGCTTTCATCAAAGACAAACCAAAATAAGTGTTTCTCACTAGTTATACCTGTATGCTGAATATTAATAATGTGACTTAACATTCAAGTACTAATTTTATATAATTAATACATGTGCATTATAATTATAAAATAAATGTTACGCAAAATATTACACACAACTGGAAAGAGAGGAAGAGAGATGATATATTCCCTTTCCCAGTAATATAACAAAATAACTATAAAACATTAGGAAGAAACAGCTAAGAGAGCATTTTAAGAACAGATGTATAAAGTAAGTTGATGTAAAGAGTATGTTCAATTTTACAGAGTTCCAGGACGCCGTAAAGCATAGCCTAATTTGAGAAAACTCATTCTAACAAATCTTCATAAGGTAATATCATACCTTGGTGATAACTTGGACTCTTCAAGAAGCTTTTTAAATTCTTCTTTGGCTAACAGTAGTTTATTTTTTTTTTCTTTGTACTCTTCTCTTATCCTGGTCTTGACAAACTGCTCAAATATCTTTTCAAAAAAGGAAAACAAGATACAGCATTTATTAATAAAGATGCTATGGTCTTTATGCTTGATCAGAGGGTTTTTAATCGCAAGAACTACAATTCTTATCTGCACTCAGTATTTCCTGACTCACATGTGGTTGAGGCTGCCTCATGGATGGCTGATCATTTGTTTTCATAAAATAAGCAGCTGGAAGAAGCTAAAATTTGGACAGATAATATCTTCATCCAATCACAAAGTGCAACATAAATAAAAATTTCCCAAACTAGGTGTAGATTACTTGGTCTTGCTCACATCTTAATGCTGACAGTATTATTTATTCTTTCTAGCTTGTATCCATGCAACAGACTTGTTTGGATCTTGCATCTTTCCCAACTTGCTTGAATTCTTGAATACGTCGATAACGCTAAACAGCAATATTCTGTAAGTCACCCAAAGAAAGCCTGAAGACTTTTCAGTTCAGTTGCCACAAAACATGAGCGTACACATGATCCTCTGTACAAACATACACAACAGCATTAATGCGTTTGGAAAGGTTGACAGTCCTACTTCTAACAGTACTTGGCAGCTAAATATGCAAGAGGGTGCTCAGCATCAGGATTTTCAGTTTCATCAAGAGCAGTTAAGGACTTAGGTATGTCTGGAAGTTCTGCCGATTGCTTTAATCACATTTTTATATACCATAAATCTGGCCCTGTCAGTTCGGTGCTCTAAGAAGTGGGGAACACTAACCCGTTGAACCAAAGGAGCTGTTCCTCCAAATGCTATTAGCTTTCCATATTCACCGTCCTTTCCTTGTTGCAACAAAAAGTATATGCATCAAGTATGATTACTACCACAGTCACTCTCTCTTCACTCATGAGGATGCACAAGTGCAAATCTACATTTCATGAAAGCTAAAGTAACCAAAATAAAACTGAAACTTAGTATGGTATGCAGATAAAGGAAGAAACAGCCCTGGAAAAGTAAACATCAAAAAAAAAAGATATAAAAGAAGTACTGTGAAGACCTAGGAAAACTCCATTTATTATATTGTACCTGTTTAAGTTGAGTGTAAGAGCAGACTGGAAAAAATGGAAGAAATAAAGTAGGTGACACTGTTACTGCTCGCCTTTCTAGTATCAGTGAATCTATCATCGTGAACATAATAAATCAAAATTAACAGATAGCTTATTATCTAGTTTACCTATTATCTCCTTTACCCTTCACTGTTCCTTGACTTAAACACTGTAACATCTTCTCACAGTTAATAACCCCTTAGGAAATATTGATGAGTAAGGAAATCAGTCTGCAAATATCCAATACCAGCTCGTTGTGTTCCTCAGACAGCGCAAGGACACACACAAACACTGGAGTTTGCACTCCAAACTCATCCAAACAGAAGTTCAAGTCAAGAGAAAATTCCTTGAGACACTTGCAAGATAAAATGCAATCAAAATGCCTACCCTGCTCTTTTCACACTACCCATTCATTCATTCACTCGCTCACTTTTCATTGTGAGCCAGAATTCACCTCTAAATCCTTCAAACATCAGTGCGTTTACATAATTCAAAACGTATTCAGATGCTCACTATTTGGGCCACACAGTCGGCCTAGTCAAGTCAAATGTTTTCTTGTATCTAAACAATTTTTTCTGCTAATTTTAGTTGTACTTAAATAGATGCATCCATTAAATCAGTGATCCATTCTTGTCCAAGTCTAACTTTCTTCTGAAATTACTGTTAGAGGAAAATGGGGTCTAATTAAATTAAACTGCTTAGAGCAAATGTCCATAAATCCACTACTTTTAAGTTTAGCAGCTAAAATGTATTACATACCCGGCACGTGCTCCCAAGTTTAATATTTTTTTAATCCTGTTTTGTAGAACAGCAACTAATGATCACCCTCTTCTACCTTAGTTTGGAGCTGGAATTATTGTCGCTCTCAGAACCGACATCAACATGACTACGGCTTGCTACGTTTAGGACTGCCGAGAACTTGCTTTTCATAATCCCTTTCCTTGGGCATTAAATACAGCCCACAAACGAGGTCCATGTCAGCAATGCTTTAGCAAAGGTCTGTGTTATATTATGTACATTCATTATATATTTTTATTAAATCATTTCCATGGCTGATAAAACAAAAGTAGTAATGAGTCTTGACTGACTGACCAAGATCTATATTTTGTCCTTGGCTGATTCACTGAAATAAAATACAAAACTCCTTCCTCAGTAACTTGTTTATCAAGATTTTCCATTCTACCAGTTTCTCTCACATTTTCATTCCCATATTTCATTATTATTTTATTCTACTTTTTATCTTACTACCTTATTGGAAGGGTAGTAAATGAAAATATATATGTCCGCAGTCCCTCAGTAAATACCTACAGGAAGCTCTCTGGAGAATCAATAAGACAATATGGGCCACAGTGCAATGGAATATGAACAAGTTCATTTTTCACCTTAGCTTATTTCAAAAATTGATAATTCCATATTCCAAATTCTTCCTTCTCCAAGATGACAAGAAGCTAGTAAGGAACAGAAATAACTACAGAGTAAAAAGAGTTTACCCCCTCTGCAACATCCTTGCATCTCTCCAAAATTTTTAGATTAATCTGCGACCCTGGGGTCCTTTTAGACCCCTAGTGATAGTTTTTAATGCCCAAATAACCATGGTAGTAAAAACTCTACTTCCCTTTGCGGCTTGCCAGAAAAGCTATACCCTTTCAAACAGACACAAGCATAGCCGCTGTGCTCTATCCGTTTATGTCTACCAAGTTTAGTTATTGCAAAATATAGCAATAAATACTACCAACTCCTAGAAAACAGTCTAAGTAATAAAAATGAAGTAGTCCCTCTACAATATATAATATAAATCACAGCAGAAACATTACCTTATGGTCATTACCCTTTCTGCAGCTGAGTTTCCTAGACTCAGTAGGATTTGTTCCTACCACCTAAGGGACTCTCTCTCTTTGCTATGTGCAAATTCACTTGCTACCATCTGTTTTTCAAAGAAGGAGACCGCATCTTCTTAGGAACAGAACCTCAGCTATGAGTCTCACGGACAAATTTAAGAAGGACGCTTTAATTCTATTCCGTTCTTTTTATCCTACCAAGATAATTACTTTGTTATCACTGTTAATTTGGGAGACATCTGTTGACAAACAGAACCTATACTACAGATAACACTCACCTGTTTACGTTCTTCAGAATTCAGTAGAAGGTAGCGTGGATCAAATACTATTTTGTGTAACTCTTTTTCCCATGTAGAAAATGCTGAGACCTGTGAAGTATAAAGTTGAATTGAAGAACTCTATTAAGGACCTAAAATAAGGAAATGTTCCAAGGTGAAGCAAAGAGTAGGTCAGAAAGCTAATGAACCCTCTAAAGAATGCCTTGGGCAGATGGCAGTTGAATTTTAATGTTTCTGGCAATGCTCTGGCCCTCCCACGCTATTACTATTGATTTGCTCTAGGTGGTCTGAATGAATATCTAGGAGACATTCATTCCACAACTGTTAATGGAAAGACTCTGTAGTAGGAATGGAAACACCCATTTTACTATCTCCTTTGGTAAGTATAACAGAAGCTTTGAATTCCAGTTATGCAATTATCTCAGCTTTAGTCCCCCCTCCACAATTTAGGCTCATGCAAGCTAAATGCATTGTTTTTGTACTGATAATATGAAATGAAAATGTTACACTAATAAGGAAGCTTTTCTATGTTCTCAGATAAACTCTTCAGCTCTGTAAGCTGAACAAACTGTAAGGACTATCTGTGGCAAGCAGGTAGCCTATTCTGTTTCATTGGAACATTATTACCCTTCCACTACTCCTGGCTGGACTCTGCCACAATCAGTTACGTTACAATCAAGTATTTTCTTTCGCAGCCTATTTACCAATATTAAAAACATCACCAGCTAAGTAAGATTGTGAGGCCAAACAAATTTGAGAAGGTCCCTTACTTTCTTCTTCACCTTTGCCCAGGAAGTTTTATGAAACAGCACTCTGAAAGCATATGGCTTAAATTCCCAGCCTGGCTTTGATAGCTTACACAACATCACTGTTAATTAGTCTGTTACAGAAAACTCTGGAGTAACATAAAATATTTCATCTAATTACAAAGAAGCATAAAATCACTAAAAAAATTAATTATGTGAAGTATAAAATAGACTAATTAACAATCAAATAGGAAAGCTCTGATGATGCAAAGTGAGCTTAAATAGATTAGCTTTCCTACTAGAATTGTTAGCACTGGGAGACAGGAAATTTTGAAGCTGGACGCTAACTTTTAGAATGCAAACTGAATAACTTACCAATCTTTCTTGCTGTAAAATAATACCAATGTAAGTAAATCATTGACTGAGAAAGAACATGAAAATACATGAATCTTGAAACAAAAATCTTTATGGCTTGAATGAAAAAAGCTTATCTGAAAACTTATCTGTGGACTAGGTATCAGTGCAGATTGTATCTGCAGGGCAAATAAAGGAGTACAGAATTATAGGATATCCCATATTCAATTTTAAATTGGACTAAGTGTATTACTTAGCTAGCGTGTACTGAAAAATCATCCGTGACAAAGATGTTCTCTCTTCATCACACAAACTATTTAATTCAAGTTGAAGACAGACTCTGTGGAAAGTCTGCTAAGAGCTGTCCCTTCCAATTTTTTTCTTCTTGCCATCTATGTTAATGCCTCCATGTCCATACAGGTGGCTAAGTGCTGACTCTCTTCCATATAGAAGAATCAGCATTAGGAAGCCTTTCTCAGGATGTCTTCTAGACTCCCTCTTGGACATCAGCTCTGTTCCTAGTACTAAGCCCAGTTTGAACTCAAGGCTAGTTAAAGTAAAGGCAATTTACCATATAATCATTCATTTTTATGAAAGTTTCTGCAGTTTACATTTCACATATGGCAGATATACACCTAAAAAAATGTTGCTACTGATATTACTTATAATTTATTTGTAGCTACACATATCAGCTGCTGTTCAGGATATTCATTTTAGACCTTTATACATGAATATAAAATACTAATGGTCTGACTAATCTCCAAAACAGTATTCGATTGTGGTCTTCTTCATTACTATGTGACATTCAGCCATTGAACAAATGTATTGGGAGTGTTGGGAATGGCATCTCCTTACAAAATAAATAATGACTTCTGCGGCTCAATATCAACATACACCAAAGAGAGACCAGAGAGCTGAGTTTAACTTTGTTTTTCAGTTCTGTACTCCTGCTTTTAACCTGAATCCAAAGTATAGTGAAAAAAAGCGTATGAATATTGAGTTTGAGAAGTATGCTTAGAAGTGCATCCTCGCGATCCTGGGCAATGTGCTCTAGAGGACCCTGCTTGAGCAGGGGGGTTGGACTAGATGATCTCCAGAGGTCCCTTCCAACCTCAACCGTTCTGTGATTCTGTGAAGTGAAAGGGCATGAGAATAACTGATTTTACTTTTTCTTAGCTCTGGAAGCCCAAGCGCCCAGGACTTCAATTTAAAAAAAAAAAGTTATAAGAAAAGAAAGGTGAAGTATCTGATATTTACACTAGATCCATTTACCTTCAACAGTATAAAACTCATGGTTTTAATGAATCTTTGTTCTGGTGAAAAACAATGCCCACACCTGGCACAAGCTACCAAAACGTATGCAAAAAATAGCAAGAAGAATATAGTGACAGAGGACAGAAAGGCTCATTGATTCCAACTTTCTACTATCACGGGCAACCATGCCTAGTTTACAAGGTCTGCAGAGCTGAAATCCACTTCACGTATCATCACCTACTGTTGGCTGTGAAATACTTTCCAGCATCCCAAAACAAATTAAAGACCTGTATTAAAAGATACTAAAAAGTGGGATTCAGTTGCCTAAAAACAGGCACCTAGCAAATTTTCAGACAGCCTAGGTGATCGAGACATCTGCCTAGAGCTGGCAGACATGACAGAGGAGCCAAGCCCTTAGGGACTGGCAGCTGGAAGCCAGAGAGGCTATCTTATGGCATCTAAAGGTCACAACCACACATGTCGTAGGAAGACAAGGAGAAATTAAGAGCATATACAATGCACTTGTTAACTACACCTCTCGATCTGCCATGGGAACCTTCCCTCATCACTCCCACCGCCACCTGGTTTGACCCTCAACACATGTGGCCTGTCCTTCTGGAAAGGGAGTTCTCTGGGTCGATCTGAAAAAACAGGTGGAAAAGCAGCTGGGGAAAAATAGGAAGAAAATCAAACTAGCCTGTTTGTTTATTCATTTATTTGGCAAAGTGTTTTGAGACCTAAGTGAGTTACATGCTGTTACTGCATGACCACAGCAGTAAGTCCACAGCGCATCTACACCATGATTAAAGCAGCTTAGAATCTAACTCCACTTATCAATACACCTCTTTGTTTACAAAAAAAAGAAAGTAATATATAAATTAACCCTTCACACCCCTGCCAAAACTTAATTCACAGACAAGATCATCTTTGTGCTTGTCAGGAAGTGCTGTTCAGCAGACTTTGAAATCCTGAATCCGGGAAAAGTTGAGTTACAGTAAAGGTGTGTGCATCTGAACTCTATCCTCTTCAAGGACTGCTTCAATATTCCCCTTTCAAATAAAAACACTTAGCGGTAAACTTTACAAGTCCCTTATCTATCCATTCACCTTTACAGACATAAACATAAAGTGTACCATAAGCTTGCACAGCAAGAAAAAATGTATGTAATAAAGTGTAGACATTCCTGTAAGCGTAGCTCCAGGACTGCTCCAGTTTATGCAGCGTTACAGTATTGCCGCGGGGCTCGCAGAGGGTCTAGGGTTCAGCGGACAGTGCCCACGGGGTGCTAGGGGCCTCGAAGGCTGCTCCCTTCCAGTGGCAATATTGTCACTGAAGACCACTAGGTTAAGGCCCTAAAGAAGGAGCCAAAGTCTGACTTTAGAGCTGTAGCCTGCCGAATTTGAAATTTTTATTCTTCAGGATACTGTCTAGCCTGTAAGAATTGTCTTGAAACTGGCAGGCGGGGGTTTGAGTCCCTTCCCCCCTCACTTTTTTTCTTATGCTTTCCAATATAAAGAAGGCAAAACTATTAATTTTTTATTTTGTTAGCCACATAAAGTTATATCCTGAAAAGCCTTTATACCTTGAATGCAAAGCAATGTAAAGCAATCAGAAAGAAATTTAAAGGAGGATCATATCGGAAATTTCATTTCTACGTAGGAAATCTTGCCAATGACTTAAGAACAGTGCTATTGTCTCAGTGCTACAACAAAACCATGTTTTATTTTTATGTTACAATGAATATATTTTGTTTATATATCTTCTATGTACGGTTCACAAATAGAAGGCTCAGAACTAAGTGAAAGAGCTTTATCTAGTTAAGGTACTTGGTAATGCTTTCAGGTACCTTCTGGGAAATAATAACATTATGAGAAAACGGCAGGAGCCACTCATTTAAATAATCGGTTTAAAATAACACTAATGGCCTCACTACATCTCAAAGAATGACAGCCAGCTGGGACTAACTATCATCTTGTCTGGATATTAAACAAATGCTTTGGGCTAAAGACATAGAATAGCCTATCATCTATATGCTTTTTACACAACAGCAAAAACAAACAGTAAATTCAGTGAATTTCTTATTTTACAAGCTAGTCTGAATCTTATACTTAGAGAATCATATTATAGAATATCCCTCATACCTTCAAATTTTGACTTATATTCCCACGACTTAAATATATTAACAGAAGCCTTCAGTCAGTCTTCACCTATGGAACTTTGCATTTTTTCAAGCATCACCAAAAAGATACATTTATATAATAGTTCTAGCCTGAAGATAGTTAAGCTTCTGACATCCACATCTCTAACTATAGGCCTCTAAAGTCTACTGAGTACTAATGGTAAACATTACATGTTTTATTGCCTAACAGCCACCTTGAATTTTTTTAATGGAAATTACATAGACTTCTATGGAAAATATGTTTTGACGGCACTGGAGGGAGGTGTAAAATCTGCTTACGCGAGTCCATTATACACCTATTTACATTTGCAGGATCAGGTCCTAAATGTGTTCTTTGCATTAATTTCATAATGTTCATGCACAAAATCATTAGCTCTCTGGAAAGAGAAGGGACGCAGTGAGATGGATTTTTGCAGAGGTGATTTTATGTCTTCAGATAACTGTCTCCAAAATTCCTTATATTGATGGTAATCTTCATGAGGCCAGTTCAGCACAGGTTTATAACTGCTACTTGCGGAAAGCAAAAAATCAGGCCGAAGCGCTTTACAAAATCAGTCACTGGATGCCATTCCTATGATTTGTAATTCATATTTGACTGTTGGTCATGAGGCTCACAGCACTGATGTGGTCTATTTGCAAACTGAATTTATGCTTCATCTCCCTACTCTTAATCTTCATTAGGTCATGGTAAAATGGCTAAAATAACTCTGGTATCAGCTAACTAGTCCGAAGGATTGCTCCGAACTCAGCCACCAGCAGGACGGCACCGGGGACCCATGCCTCAAGGTGTTCTCGCCTGGCTGGCTGCAGTGAGATGGATTGTTTTCTTTTACAAGTTTGAATAAAAACCTCAGAGGGTCCTAGGCAGTTACTCGACCTTCTGCACTTCTGCATCAACTGGAATCGCCAGGTTTTCTCAACAAAGTGAGAAAGTCCAAGGAAAAAAGCAAGTTTTCTTAATCCATGTGTGACTCCAGGATCACCTTTCTTAATAGAGTGGAAGTGTAGGCCTTTCATCTTTGGAGATGAATAGTGGGGAATTTGGTTTTCCACTGCTGGGATCAGGGGAGCTGACATTGATGAAATCTTTCCCAAGTTAACAAGAGCAGAGCTTGCAAGGACTATTTCTCAGTCTTGGGCTGTCCTTCAGGTGACACACAAGAAGCATTTTTCTTCCTCTGTTCATCATCTCTCGCGACCAAGTTCCTTCACATACTACTGAGCCACTACTCTGAGCTGGAAAGAGTCCCATTTTTGGTTATGTGTGTACGTGTGTGTATGAATTTATTTAAAGTTACACTTAAAAAGTGAGTAGTGTTCTGGATGGCCATATATTACTGCCTGGCATCAGAAGATATCTAAATAGCCATATAAACCTAACATTTTTGGACATGACATCAAGAAAATATTTTTAAATAAATGCTTTTATGGCAGTGCCATATAATGCATTTTTACCTTGGCTCCTTAGAAGCCAATACTCCAAAATAAACCTCAATTCTATTACAATATTGCCAGTGTGAGAATACTCAGAAAAATCTGTTTTTTCTAACTTATTTTAAATTGCAGTGTATGCAATTTTATGAATTGTTGCAAATTTCTCCTTTATTCACATACCAGTAACAAGATAATATTCACAAGAACTGAGAAATACAGTAAAGTAACATGGGTAATAGACCCCCCCCCTCCAGTAATTGTTTATTTGACTGCTAATTTATAATTACGAAATGATTTCTGTAGTTACCATATATGGCGCCATATTTTCATAAAAGAGATGTTTCAAATAATGTAATCTTATTTCTTACCCCTCTTTCCAGAAGCATATCACGGAAATGGGTAATGCGTTCTTCTAGAGGAAGCATAATCTGATGGGCTGAGGTTTTCACATTTTTCTCCTCTGCATCATCCTTCCTCTGGTCAGCAATTTGGGAATCTTCTGTTCTTTATCAAGGAAAGAGAGAAAACAGTTCAGTAATTGTAAACTTGGGAGTGCATTTTAACCCTCTACTTTCTCCGGAAAATTCTGCAGGAACGTAGGATTTCTCTGTTTGCCCGAAGCAGACTCAGTGTCAGCAGACACTGACAGCTGATGAGCTCCCCAAATCGGCAGTTAGTTATTAAACTGGAGTTTTCTTGAGGGTCCTTCCCAGAGAATATGACAACTCTTTATGTCGAAGTACGGTATATCTGTACGATCAAAGAGCATAACTGAACAGTGAAATACTACCCTATGTTTCAAGCTACAGAAAAGTGACAGGTTTATATTATGTTTGTCAAGGAGTGAAGATTTTAAAGGAGTCACTGAAGAAACTCATCTTGTTATTTTTTTCTTTTGTTTTCTCTCTTTTTATGCCCCAAAACTTCTTGACTTCAAAGAACTAGGCAAACTCAGATCTGGAATTCGAACTTCTGATTTGGGTCCCCCCTATTGTTTCTTAGTACTTTGAGCAATGAAGGGATTCAAGCTTTACTCAACTCGAACAAAAAATTAAAGATCAGGAGTCTGGAAATGACCACAATGTTCAAATCAGGACAACGAAAATAAGGCATATTGATTTTTAGCATCTTACGAGGAATGGCTGCATTTTTAGCAATGCAATTTTCACTAATACTAAACAATACTTCCGTTTGAGTTTTTGACGTGAAAACACTTTTCTACTTCCAGGGAGTTCTATGATATGAAAGTCAAAATTTGCGTCCAAGAAAGTGAATCACATCAGTGTGTAATATGAATCCCAACATATTGCCTTCTGTCTATGAATAATTACATTACTCTTAAATTTATCTAAAATTATATTATATTAGTGATTTGAAAGATATCAAATTGTTATTCTTCACAGAATGATAGTGACTTTTTATTGTATTAGCAATTTTAATTCTGTAATATGATCCACGAAATATCCAATCCAATTTTTAGTGTGCACAAAAGGCTTTGTCAAGGTGAAACTTAGAGAAATATAGAACACTACTCCATCATTTAATCATGAGGAGAGACCCTCTTTCCTTCAGTACGGTTAATTGAAAATGATGCTGCAAATCATACAGACTTTCTTTTTTCTCATGCTAAGAATTACAATAAAAAATAAAATATTCTTTAGCCAAATAATACAATAATCTGTAGCCGAAGGAATACAACGAACTATCTGACTTCGCAGTCAAAAGGACACACATACACAGCCTGCTCTTCGTTTTCTACTATCACAATTTTGGAAGCCCACAGATCTCAAAACAGATAGGACAGTAATGATGTAATACTGTTTATAATAATATTGTAATATTGCTTTTAAAATCCACATATCTGGTGACAAGACAAGAGGCAATGAGGACAAGCTGAAATACAAGAAATTCCATCTAAACATAAGAAAAAACTTTTTTACTCTGAGGGTGGTCAAGCACTGGAGCAGGTTGCCCAGAGAGGTTGTGGAGTCTCCACCCTTGCAGATATTCAGTCCCAGCTGGACACGGTCCTGGGCAACCTGCTCCAGCGGACCCTGCTTGAGCAGGGCTTCGACCAGATCATCTCCAGAGGTCCCCATCAACCTCAACTCTTCTGTGATTCTGTGAAGAAAACCTAGAAAACCTAAGTTTCTCTGAAGATTTGTTTCTTTTGTATTTAGTACTATTAGAGCATTGCCTAGGTAAGAATTTGACTGAAGTATTTTTAAATAGTCTAATTACCCCTCAGTGAAACAATAGCAAAATGTAGAAGTTCATAGATAGACCTTGAAAATGACTCATTTTTAAAATAAACTGACCTATTATTAAGGAACTACAGTCTAAATGCTTGTTTAAATGTATTAATATTGGACTACAGCTAACAGTTTATGGCAGTAGTTAGACCCCACTGATTTCAATAAAACGAGTATTTATCTCATAGTATCCGATTCTTCCTTCATAATTAATATAAATGCATGGAAATGCTAGGGATGTCAACAGAATTATCCAATAAGATAAGAATAAGAGAGAATAAGAGAGAATAGAATTATCTTCATAACATCCACCTTGAAAATACAGATATTTTTGTGTTAACTGGTCAAAATAACCCAAAATTCGTAACATAGTGGCCATACGAATTTATGTTACCGGCAATTGTTTTCATTTCACATCATTATCTTATGCAGATCCAGCACTTGTGAATAGCTGACCGTATTTGCAGTTACCTGGCCAGAGGTTAAATAGGATGACATGTCTCCAAGGTGCTCCTTAAAAAGCAAACTGTTTAATTTTTTTTTTTTTGCTTTGCTATTTTGGCAGGGATGAGGGAGCACTAGACTTCAATGGAGTTAAAGCTTTCATCCAATGTCTTTAATAGAAGTACATATCCTTACAGTTCAATCTTTTCATTAATTTCAGTATAATCAACAATAACAAAAAATGGATGATGGCTACGGAAAATACATATTTTAGAGGATCATGGAGTTTGATGACTTTTATCCATAAGAAAGTATTTTTTTTTATCTTTGCACTTATTTGTAGATGACTTTAGCTTCCCAACACTACAAATGGATAAATAAACTTTACAACTTACTTATTTCTCTTAGTTTTGATGCTAAGATCATCATTTTCATCCCCTGGGCATGAACTAACACTTTTATCTGCTAAAAGAAAATAAATAAAATTAGGGTGATTAGATTTGAACTAAATAAATGGGAATATAAATTCCCCAAATTAACCTTTCACTTCCTGATCTTTGGTGCCTGCTCCAGGTATTTACTATTCTCCGATGCGTGTTTTAAAAATAACATACATCTCATCAGACACTCAGAAACGCTTTCATCAAAACTTAAGTGACAGTAACAAGAACAAACATTTTCATTCTGAAAAATTTCTCATTGTTCATTTGTGATGTGTTTTTTTTAAATCATGTTATTGTTTCACCTGATACTCCCTTAAAATTGTAACTACAAAGATGTTACCACAACAACATTTCAGGCCTGACAGCCTGAATAATTTGATAGCCTAATTCACATCAGAACTTCACTCTTTTCCCATTTTTCCTTCTTACATAAGGAAATGCAATGGAATAGTATAGAAAGGCTACGTGGATATGAAGAACCTCCACATTCACAGTGCTCCACAATAACTGCCAAGGAATGGACGTCCCACTCATACTTTTGCCTGGATGCTCTTCCATATACGACTTTGAAGTGGTATGTGTGGTTATTCAGAATGAACGTCAGGTATATGGAACAGATACTTATTTATGGAATTTTAAAATACTAATCTTTTTTTTCAAGTATACAAACTACAGATTTCATCAAAATTCAGGCAAACAACGTGCCAGAATTCATGTCCATTCACTGTTTGGTTTGTGTTGGGGATTTTTCAGCAGATCAGACATTAGCTGGGGACAATAAAAGTTAACCTGTATGTGGTTGGCTTTGGACTATCAGGGATACCAAACTTGAGCTTTTTGGTATTAGACTCATAATATAGACAGGTCTGGCTATATAGGAAATTATGAAAAGATAAAGAAAAAAAAGTTAAAAATAAATATAAAATTGAACTCAGTTTATGGAGATAAAAATGGGCTAGCTGCTTGGAATAATTCGATATGGTGAAATCTGAGTCCACTGAAGTCAATTAAAACTCTCCTAGACCTCAGTTAGATTAGGATTTCACCTCCAAGGGATCTAATAGAAAAAAATTTAATACAAGTAGAGAATGGTAATTATTTTTAAACTTATAAACTAATTTCAAGTTCTTATTTGTGCTGGTCCAATCTTCGCAACACTGAGGCTAACACAAATTTTATTTCAAATGGGACATAACTTAGTTCTTATCTCATTCTGTTTCCCTATTTTAGGGAAATTACTTGCATATTAGTGCGCTTTCAGCAAATGTTACCTCTTAGCTATATTAAGTGCATGAACACTTCTTGCTAAATTCTTCTTTGGGAAGCTCAGTTAAAAATATAAATAAATAAGAAAAACAATCTGCAGACCTAGATGGTGGAATATAATTCAACAGGTATATTATAATGCTATTAATCAGAAGTTAAACAAGCTGTGGAGGCAGCAATGATCTTAACTTCAATAAATCCTGATGATGGTAATATGGAAATAAGAGAGTACTTGATGTTGTTTTTTAAAGAGAACTGAATTTAAAGATGACTCTAGGTTCAGTGATGAGTGGGCAAGCACGATCTTATTTCTACAAAATCTACTCTTGGTTTTAGTGTTTATTTCCTTCTGCTCATACATGACCTAGCTGAAGTTCTTCCTCTGAAAAATGAAAGCCTACTTGCAGGAGAGAGACAAAATCCTTCTTGCTTTACTTACATGAGTGACTACTGTGGGAATTCTGTCTTGAATGGAACAAAATTAGAGTTAGTATCATCACTTAAAATTTCAGTGCGATAGAAAACTTGGTAAAACATGGCAAATGATATCTATACTCTCACTTAGGAAACCATTGAACCGCAGCGTACCATTGGGCCTCTACGCAAGGTTATATACTGACTGAAAAGGAAGGGGGGCAAAATTGGTTTAAAGCTTGAGGAAGAATATTACCTGATTGTAATCTTGCCATGAAATCATGAAGCTGAGCTCAAGCCCAGTCTGACCGTCTGCCAAGCTTAATTCTAATTAATTAAATCAATCAACTAATTCCAGTCACATAATGAATTCTAGTTCACCTTCCAGAGCAAAAAGAAAACACCACTCTTTACCAACAGACTTCAATCATTGTCAATCCATTGGCAACACACAAAAATCTGATGCGTAATTTTGTAAAGAAACGAAGCATAAATATTTCTCATCTAAGGCTAGGCGTTTATGTATCATATTTATATGGGCTATACTTCATATTTTTATCTGAATACTAATGAATCCAAAATATTTGTGGGAACAGAGTGGACTAAGTCAAAACTAACTGTGAGTATGGATCAGGATCAAATTTGAATCAATGTGAAGTTTTGTGTATCTAAAATGTCAAATTTATTTTATTCAGCTGGGGGGGGAAAAAGAACCTCCTCAGCCTAAACATCCAGACAAACTGTTTTTTAAAAAAAAAGAAAGAAAAAAAATCTTTTTTTTCAGCCGGAGGCTTTTTTGCTATTACAGGGGTTTTCATATCTAATTGTCCTACTCGTCACTGTCCCTTAGTAACAACTGATTCCTGTTGCACTAGCTTTTGGGTGTTCCCACCATCTTTTTTTTTTTTTTTCCATTAAGCTGGCAGAAATTCTGATAGTTATGATGGAGTGAAAATAGATGGCCGGAGAGGTTAAAAGTTTTGCTCGGGATTCTTTTCCATGGTGCTGTACTCGCTCTTGCTATAATGAGTAAAGTCTATGCTTAGTTGTTAGACCTGAGGGACTGCAGAGAAGTTTGCGGAGAAGGGCAATATCAATCAGAAGAAAAATATGATTTGAGTCACATCAGAATTCTGGAACAAACATTAGATTCTCCATATAGCCCTTACATTTAATACATTCCTTGCAAATGCAAGATGTTCTTGTTCAGTAGTTCAGAATCCTTTCCTGAGGCCCTGCTGGGTAAGTTGTAGTCGTCGTTTTGTCTACTACATTTATATACTCTAATGACCTGCACAGATTGATGACTTTGACTGCACAAATCCCCGTGGACATATATTTGGGTACCACATGAGTTGAGAGGAATCTGAGTAGATGAAAATGCCTTTTCCACTGTAATAAGAAACATTTCAGGAAATCTTTGAGAAGAGAAAAGGATATTATGGTCAGTATACGATCCCAGTAAGATACAGAGGAGTAATGATAACCAGTGAAAAGCAAATATGACTGTAATGAGAATATGTTGCACTACTCTGTTAGACAGCTCTAACTTGGTAAAACCGAAGATCAAACTATGCAAGTCCGGGAAACACCGCCTCCACCTTAGCCCTACATTTTGTTAATGAGGTATCTATTCAGTTTGACAGTCTGTGCGCTTGCAGGGAAACAAGGCTGGTGTGACGCCACTGAAGCCAGAGAAGAGGGGACGAGCTCCCACGTCCCTCAGCTGCGGAGCGCGCTGAACGCCTCCGTACGTGCCTTATCACACCCTGGCTCCAAGCACGCTCGCCGATTCTGGCGACAGCCTCCTTTACGATTGCAAGGAACGGCCTTATGTGAACCCATTAGTAAAGAATCATGACACCTTCATAAATCTCTAAGAACTAATACTTTGTGGAGACAGAATAATTGATAAATGAGTAATTTTTCACTTATGACTAAATTATAAATGCACCTGATCTTTCAGTGGAGTGATGCACAGATAAACTGTAACACTCCGTGAATAATTATGCTTGCTCACATTTTTTTTGTGCCTTTGATTTAAAAATTCTAATTAAAACTCCACAGCAACAACTAAACTAAATAAATTTGGCAACCATTGTTGCAAACATACAGCTCATTTCTTTTATTTATTTACCCGAGATTACAAGCTAAGAGCAATAGTATCAAATAATTCCTTTGACCTCACCAGCTAATATACAGCAATTATAACCTGATAGTCTCAAATACTGAGCAACCACAAGTCCTAATTATATTAAAGAAGATGAAGACGATTAGCACCAATGAAAACCATAGTCATAAAGAGCCTGGTGTATGAGTCAAGTCTTAATAGTACACATACATAATAGAATATAAAGGATAGAATGCAGAATAAAAAATAAACTTTAGAAATGACATGTATCAGCAGTGGCCTTAGCTCCTTCTCAATAATTAATGATAGATCGTGAATGATGACCCTTAGTCTTCTTTTTGCTTGTCATGCCCCCAGCTAGTAATTCATTGATCTTTAACTATATCCTGCAATATAAAATTTATGCTATATTTTTCTCCTGAAGAATGAACTTCAGCAGATATGCTTTGGAATTATTAGATATTTATCAAAACTTGCTCAAGTCATTTAAAAAAAGACATGATTTTGTTTCAAGCCTCCTACAATTCAGATTTATATTGAAAAATGTAATGCTATTATATGTTGATAAGGACTACATAAATAGAAAACCACTCTCTGTAGCATTTCTTCAGTAATCGTCTAATAATGATAACATAAATCCTAATGATCACTCGCTTGTATCTACCTGTAAGCATAGTCTTTCAAATCTGTAAATGCACACTCACACCTTTTATTTTGCAGGAGTTAATTGGAAGCTGTGCCTGCATATCAAAGCATACATTATGGCCCCCAGTGGCATGAGTGTAAAAGACACGTCACTTCATGAGACTTGCAGACGTTACGTTCTTTTTAGTTACAAAATATTACACTTTTAAATAATAATGAAGGTCACATCTCATTTCCCCCTCCATATTTCTAGATCTTGCCACTGAAGAATAGCTATCAGCTGAAGGAGGTTCTCCAGTGAAACTACTGTTAAGTAAAATATTTGTGTTTGCTCCAAGTAAGAATCCCCCGGCATAAACTGCTCATCAAAACAAACAGGATTTCCAAAGGCTGGCACAGATTCGGATGACTCCTCACAACAGCAGATCTTACTGACACACAAATGCCAGTGGAAGGAGCTGGGAAACAGAAGAAGCGTCCACACTGAACGGAGCAGCTCCCAGTAACAGAGCAAAGCGGGTAAACATCAACCGGTGAAACAAAATTTTTGGAGAGAAACACAGCTGAACAAGCTATGTAGCCACTACTACCCTGGCAAGGTCAGGCTGACATGCTGGGGCAACCTTTGAGATGGTCACCAACAAATTAAGCCTGGGCTGAACTATGAAATGATGGATAGCAGACTGAAACGACAGCGTGGCAAGGAGCAAAGGGGTGTGGATGCAATGGAGGGGCATGGGAAAAATCAGGCTGGAAAAACTGTCTCAGTAAATTGGCCTGTCTAGTGAAGGACCAGATGGCAGACTTTGGACCAGTGAAAAGCCATAGTCTTTCTTTTAAACTACATTTTGAACCACTAAACATGTATTGCTGTAGATCAGGAAATTATTCTTTAGTCAGTGCCAAGAATATCCTCCTCAGGAATCCACAGTGTCTAAAAGGTGATTGGCAGAGCTACGCTTGGATTGAAGCAGCCATGTTTCTATCAAACCTTGTAGCACTCATTTGAGATTTACTATTGGGATTTTTTTTCCCCTCTACAATTTGGCTGAATAATCACTAACCACAGAGCATCTCCTTTCTCAGAACAGTCAATAGGATATTTGGATAAAGAAAACTATGGTGATGCATTCCTAATGTACATCTTGGAAATATAAGTGTAATAAGACCAAAAGGCAGTGTCTTCCAAGATGTATTTTATACATCAAAGACTCATCCAAAATAAGAAGCCATCTATTTCTTCATTGGAAATAATGAAAGTGCTCTATCCTCAAGTTTAGCATTGCAGTGAAAACAAATATTTAGCAATAAACATCAGTTTTAACATAATACACGAAATCTCAAAACGAAAATCATTCTAATTATGGTTATCAAATTTTCACTGAATGTATTCAGTGGTCACGTTTCATTTAACATTTGAGTTTAAATAAATGCAAATAATCACAGCATTAGTTACTTGCTGAAGTTTCCAGTTTGCGTTTATGTGGTGGGTCTTCAATGATTCTATTTATATCGCCACGATTCTTTAGATCCACTGGTTTCTCCCATACTGACAGCTGCATTGTAGGGTTGAAGAAGAAGACTCTGTCATCTCCAGTCCAGACTACACACCTATTTCAATTGATAAATTATCCTTAGAGAGTATCAAATACACTTACGAACAAGAAATTAACTCATAGCTAGCTTATCATAGCCTAGTTTACAGCGCATAGGTGAGACTCATTTCAAACTGACAACCTGCACAAGGCCCTGCTACCCCATTCAAGTTATTTTGAGTAGAATAACTCTTTCCACGTCAATAAAATGCCATAGAAATGGTATAAACACTCCATAAGAACAGCAGGTCAAATTTTCTATCATGGTAGGAAGAAAGAAACAGGACAGGAGGAAAACAGGGGTGTTTCATAGCAAAAGAAGACACAGGAGAATATATTTCATATTTTAAAGATGTTAACTCTGAAAGTAGGAAGCCACAGAAATCTTGATAGCTGCTGAAGAAAACCAGCAAATACTATATATGCAGTCTGATTTATACTCGCACACGCACACATAATGGGAAGATGTTAGTCTCTCTGAAATATAGATACCTGGAAGGAAATCTTATTACCAGAAGTTCTCCAATGCTTAATTGTTATTAACACAGTAGGAAACAAAACTGTTTAATAAGAAGTCTGGTCTGGGTAAAAGACTGCAAACATGAAAAATGCTACATCACCACAAAGTATTCTCACAAGACACTTTGAAATTTTCTGTATACTACTGGTAAAACATCACCGCTGATCTTGCCCATACATATAATAAAGAATATATTACCTTTGTAAGAAATGTACCTTTGTACAATTATATAGTGCAGAAAGCAGTTCAATGTAAGAAATGTGTTACTGAGTCTGAAGATCAGAGTAATTATGCTCAAGAAAGTCAAAACATTCACAAGACGAACACCAGCGTAAAAGCAGTTGAACAAACTCAACTGCTGGCTTTTCAATTATACAAGTATAAGTTAACTTATTAAGTTTTGGCATCCTGAGTTTGGTGACATGGACACGACAAATATTTTAATAACTTCCGTATCATTTTAATATACAAATTTTTTGGATCAAAAACCAGCCTCACAAACAGATGCTCTGTTTGCTTTCGAGGCAATGATCAGCTGCTATAATTAGCATGCCTGACTTTGCATCTCAGAGCTCAGGATCCCCTGTTCTACCATAGACACTGATTATCAGGTCATGAACTGTAACTGTGCCATTAGCCACAAGTCTCTCCTGCATAAAACACCATGAGGGCCTTTTACAGGACCATTTTAGAATGAAGACTGCACAATACCGTAAATATCACCATCATACTAGAAGGGTGGAGAAAAAGTTTAGCATTTAGGTGAAGAGGGCAGATTTAGCTGATTAATGTAAAAGGGTTATATTTATCCTCTTATTAAATATTAGACTCACAGCGAGGATATAGGTCAATCCCAGAAGTAAATGCCTGCTTTGAAATGTCCCTTACTGTAATTTATTTTATTGGCAAATAAGCATACTGGAATTTGAATCACTAGGGGAATTACTTGTAGATGAGGGTAAACTTGAAACCAGTATGTTGCTTAGGACTGATGAAGTTATCACACACAGACGGGACTATCTAAGCTATTACTTGACAGAGATTCTAATCAGCATTTACAGAAGCTCGTGTTTTGTCCCTGCTTATATCCTGATGTGCTTACTGCTCCTCTGACCGCTCAAACAGATATTGATGTTGCTCATTAATCTCTGAATACCACCAGGTCTTGCTTGCCATCACCCCAAGTTAGAAGGTCTGTGGTCCTTTGTGATGCCTCTTCATTTTTCTGCCACTAATGTAATTTGACATTTAATTAAAAATTAGTGTCTCTTTCCCCATGTAACATCTCACCTGTCCCTCTTTGGTATAATAACAGTTTCAATTATCCAAAGGGGAAGCGTGGTATTTTGTCACAGAACATAAGCTGCAAATGCAGATATTGTTATGCTCATTTTTCCATTTAGGAAATTGTAACTTCAGTATGAGTAAGATTAGGAGTAAGAACATTATAAGATGATAATATTTTTATTTATTTCATAAGGTAAATAAGGAGGTCTGATAATAAGGTTTGATAATATTCTTGAAATTTTTTCTGCTACTAAAAATTACAGTCTAGCTAATTATGGTAGGTCCTCTGCCTTCCATTTTTTTTTGACTTAGGCACTAACTTGGTGTCTGGAGACACCGATGAGATATGAAGACCTTAAGTCACTGATCTTTTGGGGTCGGACATTACTGTCCTAGTCTCCTCGATAACCAACTTCGTCTGAGTCTCGGCAATAGACAACAGTTATCTCAACGCTTCTGATATTACCAGAGAAACATGAAAGTGGAGAGAAAGAAACAGGAAGAGAGAAAGGACGTCCAGCTGCACAGTTGTCGGGCATGCAAGCAGTGCCTATGGAAGCTACAAAAACAGATGACGATAAGGTAAGCACCGGTGATTTTATTCATTATACCAGCAGCCACTTCTGCTTGTCTCTAGAGAGGTCTCCCCCTCTGGCTCTATCCCTTTTCCATCAGCTTTTTCTTCTTGCTCTTTCTCCTTCTGGAATGTCAAGAGACTTCTGAAATCACCTCCTGTCCTTCGTCTACTTGAGATCCTAAAAACACGTTGTGAACTTTAGCCTCACCGTTAGTCCCACTGAAGCTAACAGATGTATGCAACTCATAAAGCACGACAACCTTAGCATTAGTGCTGACAGCACCACGAGACGGCAGTATAAGAGCTATGATTTCTTCCACTTTCTTCACGTGGTGATCCTCATTCAACTGGGAAATCTCTAACCACCTCCTCCAACTTTCTCCATTCCTTAGGATCTCTTCTCTCTCTGGTACCCTAACACCTATCTAGTAACCGAAAAGCTAGCAACAGTAGAATGCGAGACACTTCTCAAATGACTGCTAGCTGTTTCATCAAATCCATTCAATGCCCATCTATTCTAGACACTGATCTCTATTATCAGATTAAACTCTTCTGTTACAAAAGCGGTCAGCATTGGGAGTGGTAATAATGGTAATTAATTTATGGAAAACATAATTATAGATAGCATATTATGTGTAAATGGCTAGCATCCCACAAGTTTAAACACATCCTAAAACATATGACTTGTTACTTTTGAAAAAAAAAATTATAAGATCAGCATCCACCAAATAGTCCTACTTTTTTGAATAAGGAGTGGAAGATCACATCTGGAATTATCTGAATTCCATTGCCTTTTGCACTATGTGCTGAATGTCCTGCAAGGCTAAGAGGGGCTGGTAGCACATTAACAACTGAAAACTCACCTTTTAATCTGTTCTAAGTGGTACAACCTCCAGCCCCACTCAGATTTCCTGCTTCTGCTCCAGAATGACACCCCAGCATATGCTTGGTGATGTCACATCAACCATGGATCCCGCAGAAGCATGGAGCCAACCTATAGGTGGAGAGTGGTTGAAGTGAATTCAGGATTTTGTTGAATTTGTGTCACACAGCTAGTTTTATAAGACTTTCCTATCCAAAAAATTGTAAATTATGACTGAAGCACCTGACAGGCATGCTCTGTGTTCCATTACGAGTCATGGTGCAGATTAGACTTTGTCACATCAAAGGGGGCAAGTGTCAGCATGAGGTCTATGCAATTTTCTTCTGGTCCCAAGAGACCAGATTTTGATGCCTTCTCTAGCACTCTGAATACTGACTTGGTCACTAAACAGTCCTCTTGAAACCATCAGGAGACTCTGAAAAGTAAGGTTATGCCTTAAAGATAAAAATATCACCAGTTTGGATGTGAGAGAGTGGTGTACTTTCGATTAGTGTACTCAGTGCCCACTCACCATTCAGCATATACTGCTAAAGAAGATGGAATGCCATGGGTTCCCGTTGTGGATTACCATCCACTTATGCCTCTTTTGAATAAGGATCACGGAAGCTATAAACCGCTTACGACACTCCTGGAGTCAAACATTTCGTGTTTAGTATTTCATATTAGCAGCAAATGTCATGAAGAGAAATGATTAATGTAAATCACAAGTTTATGATATCTAATTTATGTATGACATCAGATGGTGTTTACAACACTGGTTTGCAAAATGGCACCGTGTAATCATAGTAAATAATGGCTAATATTTACAGAGTCCTTTAACTAAAGATTCCACAGAATTCAGGAACTGACTATATACTAATATGATTATTTTGTCCAGTGTAAAATGCATATAGGTAAAGGAGACAAAAATGTCCATCTAGTGAACCATTCAGGACAGAAAGTGAAGAAAGATTTTTTTTTTTTTTTAATTTTAAAACCACATCAGAGTTTTAGTTAGACAGCATGGGAACTGGGTCAGGAAACCTGGGTCATGGGACACAGCCTCTTTTCACAGATATAACCTGAAATCAATATCAATCTTGCAAGGCAATAAGAGTTTTCCACTGCCAGTGAAATAATTAGGAGATGAAGAGGATCTGGTCCTAAAAAGCACGACCATTTCTTACAGATCTTATATTTTCCTTTTGATCCATCCAAGCACTTTCCAAGCTGGATCCTCAAAATGTGTGAGGTCTGATAAGATCTGAGCCCTAAAGAACCAGGCTGAACATTAATATAACACTGCTTTACAGAATGCAAGAAGCGATACACAGCAACAAAATTAGAAAGAAAAATAATCAATTACATTTGGCAAGAATTGATTTCTGGCTGTCAGTAGCACAGTCCACTTACCCTCTAAATCTCAGGGAGCTGGCTCATACTGTGTTTGCCGCTATGTCCTCTCATTTTCGTTAAGTATATGATTAATGATGAAAAGCTGCAGTGGAAGCTTGCAAAGGAATACAGCATTGCTACTTAACATCCAGTGCAGCATATTTTCCCCACATAACAGACCGCTAATACATGTTTGGCTAGAGCAATGATACTGACAAATAACTTTTATTAGGTCTGCTTGCACTTGCTTACCATGGTGATCCTGGCACTGGGGTGGATGCCACAGGCTTGTTGCCATTTGCTGTGCTGTCATCCTCGTTTAGTAGTTTTAAAGAATGATCCTTGAAAGACAGATAGAGATTAGTCAACAAATAAAGCTGATGCATAAGAATGTTATTGTCATACAAATCATTCCCTTCAACTTGAAGTGGATTATCCAAATTGCCATTATTCCACTAGTGGTTATATTAACAAGCAGCTACCTTGAGAACAACCTAGATAAACTGGAAAGAATAAAAACGTTGCCCCACTTCAGACAATACAAATGAAAAACCAGTAGACATGCCAACAGCTCACTTGGGATAGCATGTGTAATCCTGGATATTGCAACGCAAACAGGGTAGGTACCTTGTCAGAAATAAAATGTGTGGAATGAGAGACTAAACTCTTAATGAGATCGAGATCTGGAACCAGAAGGAAAGCTCCAATTACTGAGTGCTCTGAGGAATCATGCAGAGCCAGAGCAACAGCACACACATGCGAGCAGTAGGGAAATGGCAAGGAAAAAGGGTGCTGGTGACACAAGTTGGCAAGTAAACACTTTTACAAACTTTAGTGCTTTAAGTAGCACTTAAGGACTGAAGGAATGTGACTGAAGGAACTAGTTTGTGTAACTGAAGGAAACAGGACAGAACTGGAGCAGCTGTGAGTGAGAATCCAGGGAATACAGAGTACTGTGCAAAGGTTAATAGTATCTCTGTGATCACTAGCTGTTTAGTTATTCACATTTTTTATGGTACTTTGCATAGCCTCAAGGCTAGCAAAAGCAATTCTCTTTGGCTTTGGCCAACCATACCACCCACTTGAAACTATGCAGAGGCTTGACGCGTGGGGATCTGACTACACTTCTGTTGCTATCAAACAAACACTTCTGTTGCTATCAAACAAACTTGGGATACGGTTCTGGCCATTATTCAAAAAGTCAGCCTGTACAGATGGTTTAACAGATAATATGGCATAGCTGAACAGCTGTTTGTATGGTATTTCCAAAAAGTACAGGCAGTAAGTGTTTTAATGGTTAAAGAACAGCTATTTATTGTAGTAGCTTACGGAAACTAATTGAGGGGAGGTGGCATGGGAAAGGAAGGCAATGATAGCTCAGTACAATATCAAAGCTTGAGAAGCACATATATAATTAAAAAATAATAAAGTCTGTATACTGAGGTCTTCTTTACAACTTAAAGCACTAAGGAACGTGCCTGAGTACCAGTGCTGTAAATATGGGGAATACCCGCAGAGTCTGAGGGTAGACAGAGAAGTTTTGGTTACAGAAAGCACAGAGATGACAGCATGACAGGAATGTAACAAATGAAAATAAACTGAACAGGGGCTCAATGCACATTTCCTCTTCTTGCAGTTACAGAGCTCCTGATGTAAAAGGCAGGTAGGCAGGAAGGGCATGGTTGTGGGGGAACAGAACATGCCTGCTGGAGGACTTCAGGGCAGTAGCTTTGAGCACCGCATCTACTTTCTGAGACTGAGATGCTCTTCCACACCAACATACTCAGATAAAGGTTTCCCTCTTTTAGCTTTAGCCATTTTCATGATGCCTGTATGAGCTGTGCAGAAAGCAAACATTTCCATTTATTTCATAGAAGTTGGGACTAGGATTTAGGTCCTTTTCCTTTATACAATACTAATAATTTAGTTTTTTTTCAAAAAGCTAATGAAGTTACAAACATATAAGATTACCCATCTGTAAGTTACACATAACATTTGTTTTCCATTTACATTCACCTGTCAGTTTTCTTTAAAGATCAGTCATGGGACCCTTAAATAAGGACTACGCACAACATTTGTTAAGAAGTGCACAGCATTTTAAATTAGTAACATCAAAAAGGACATGGGCCATGGACAAATTCCTCCTTGTACATGGGGAGGTGTATACAGGCATTTAGAATTTAAAGCTCTACAGGGACTTAACAGTTGGAATCTGGGAAACACTCATTCTTCTAGACATTTACACTGCCCCCACAGAACTGGGCTTGGCTACGATACTGATGTGATGTCCCAGCTGTATCTCCCCAACACAAGGTTATAAAGCAAAGAGGTAGAGAGCAGAACAAAAATGCATCCCCCATAGTTGGTAAGACTATTCCAAGGAACTGAACACCAACCTGGTGAGGAGAGCTTTAAGCTAGGAGTGATGGGGGAGGGAGGTGATGACCCATTATCAAGTGAGGAAGTCATGGACCGGATTGGCAAGCAGGGATGCCAGGGTGATGTGGACAACAGAAAGCTTGAGAATCACAAAACAGGCCTGAAGGGTGCCCACAGCAAGCATATATACGCAAACAAGGAAATGCCAAGAGGACAACATGATGGGGAAAGAGCTCATATTTCTCACAGGAAATGAGCATGAGTGGGTGCCCATCTGAAGTGCCTGTACAGGAATGCATGCAGCACGGGGAACAAACAGGAGGAGCTGGAGGTCTGTGTGCAGTTGCAGGGCTATGATCTCCTTGGGATGACAGAGACGTAGTGGGATAGCTCACAAGACTGCTGTGGCTGGGTACAGTTTCTTTAGGAGGGAGAGGCCTGGAAGGCGAGGAGGGGGAGCTGCCCTTTATGGGAGGGAGCAGCAGGAATCCATGGAGCTGTGCCCTGGGACAGAGGATGAGCCTGGTGAGAGCTTATGGGTCAGGATTTGCAGACAGACCAGCATGGGCAGTGTTGTGGCGGGTGTCTGCTACAGACTGCCCACTCAGGAAGAAAAAGTAGATGAGGCCTTTTTCAAGTCACTGATTCTTATGAGGGGACTTAACCTGGTATCTACTGGAAGCGCAACACAGCAGGGCACAAGCAATCCATGAGGTTTCGGAGTACACTGATGACAACTTCCTCACACAGGCGATCAAGGAGCCAACGATAGCAGCTGATCTGCTGGACCTCATAGTTATCATCAAAGAAGAACTGGTCAGGGATGTGAAAGTCAGGAGCAGCCTTGGCTGCAGTTGCCATGAGAGGGTGGCAGCATTCAGGATCCCGAGAGAAGGGAACAAGGCAAAAAGCAAGGATCACAACCCTGGATTTCAGGAGAGCAGACTTTGTCCTGTTTAGGAATTTGCTTGGAAGAATCCCCTGGAAGATGGTCCTGGAGAGAAGAGGGGTCCAGGAGAGCTGGTTATCTTCAAGGATCACCTCCTCAAAGCTAAAGAATGGTCCACCCTGCCACGCAGGAAAGGCAGCAAGAAGCCTGCATGGATCAAAAAAGAAGCTTCTGACTAACCTCAGACTTTAAAAAGGAAGCATTCAAGAAGGGAAGCAAGGTCAGGTGACCCAGGAGGAACAAAGACACCCTGTTCAAGCACCCAGGGATAGGGTTAAGGAAACCAAAGCTCATCCGGAGTTGAATCTGGCGAAGCATATGAAGGGCACCAAGAGGAGCTTCTACAAGCATTATCAGCAGCAAAAGGAAGGCCAGTGAAAACGTGGGCCTGCTGCTGAATGGCACAGGGGACCTGGTGAAAAAGAATGTGGAAGAGGCCAAGGTACTCAGTTCCTTCTTTGTCATCTTTACTGGCAAGACTGGCCTTCATGAATCCCAGGTCTCTGAAAACAGCGGGAAAGTCTGGAGCAAAGACGACTTACCCTCAGTGGAAGAGGATCAGGTTAGGGAACATTTAAACAAACTGAGTATCACAAGTCCATGAACCTGATGGTATGCACCCATGAGTGCTCAGAGAGCTGGCCAACGTCACTGTGAGGCCACTCTCAATGATCTCCGACAGGTCATGGTGATCGGCAGAGGTTCCTGAGGACTGGAAGAAAGTAAATGTCACCGCTGTCCTCAAGATGGAGGCAAGGAGGAGGATCTGATCGGTCAGCCTCACCTTGATCCCTGGGAAGGTGATAGAGCAAATAATTCTGGAAACCTTTTCCAAACATGTTAAGGACAAGAAGGTGACTGGGAATAGTATACACGGATTTATGAAGGAGAAATCCTGCCTGACCAACAGGGTAGCCTTCTACGACGAAGCGACTGGCTCAGTGGATGAGGGGAGAGCAGTGGATGTTGTTTAGCTTGATTTTAACAAGGTTTTCAATGCTGTCTCCTATAACATCCTCACAGACAAACTGATGAAATCTGAACTAGATAAAATCGATAGTGAGGTGGATCAGACCCTGGCTGAACTGCCAGGCTCAGATGGTTGTGATTAGCAGCATAAGATCCAGCTGGAGGCTAGCTGCTAGTGGTGTGCCCCAGGGGTCAACACTGGGGCCAATACTGATTAGCATCTTCATTCATTACCTGGACGATGGAACAGAGCAAACCCTCAGCAAGTTTGCAGACGATACAAAACTGGCAGGAGGGGCTGGTACACCACATGGGTGTGCTGCTGTTCAGGGGGGACCTCGATAGGCTGGCGAAATGGGCAGTGAGGAACCTCATGAAGTTCAACAAAGGGAAATGCAAAGTCCTACCCCTGAGCAGGGATAACCCCAGGCACCAGGACATGCTGGGGGCCGGCTGGCTGGAGAGCAGCATGGCAGAGAAGGACCTGGGGGTCAGCGTGGATGGTGCACACCAAAGTGAACGGGAGCCAGCAGGGCATCCTCACGGCAAAGGCAGCGAGCTGTGTCCTGGGCTGCCTTAGGCAGAGCGTTGCAAGCAGGTCAAAGGAGGTCAAAGGAGGTGATCCTTCCCCTCTGCTCAGCGCTGGGAGTGCTGGGCCCAGTGTCAGCGCTGGGCTCCCCAGGACAAGAGAGAGACAGATTTCCTGGAGCAAGTCCAGGGAAGGGCCACAAAGACGATTGAGGGACTGGAGCATCTCTCACACAAGGAGAGGCTGAGAGAGCTGGCACTGTTCAGCCTGGAGAAGAGAAGGCTCAGGGGGGTTTTATCAATGTGTATAAATACCTGACTGGCGGGGAGGGGCAAGGGTAAGGATGACAGCCAGATTCTTCTCCATGGTATCCAGTGACAGGACAAGAGGCCATGGGCACAAATTAAAAAATAGTTAAATAGTTTTTTTCTTCTTTTTTCTCTTTTTTTTTTTCTTTTTCCTGTTGGGGGTAGTAAAACACAGGAACAGTTTGCCCAGGGAGGTTGAGGAGTCTCCATCCTTGGAGATATTCAAGAGATATTCAATAGGTGACCCTGCTTGAGCAGGGGTTGCACCAGCTCATCTCCAGAGGTCCCTGCCAAACCCAACTATTCTGTGAAAATCACAGACAATCTGTTTTTTTCAATTTAACTTTCTAATGCATTAATTTTGTCCTAGATTGTGTTACATCTCCACATTTGCACATAAACATACACATTCACACAACAGAATCAAGAATCATTGATTAACTGTGCTGGTTCTTTGTTTTATAGCAGGGAGAGAAAATCAGACATGAATGTCCTTTCTCTAAGTACTTTGATGCTGCAGTGACAGAGCTCATATAAAATACCAAGACAGATTAAATAGACAGATCAAAATAGACTAAATAGACATCTCTTTAAAATCAGCTGTGGGGAACTATCCTATATTGATAGCAAAGCTCTAGATCACAGAATAGTCCTTTATTCTCACTCTAATTTGTGTAGTTCAATATTAAAATTTGTTTTTTAAAGAAGAAAATCTGCAACAGACCTTATTGTCATCATTCTCCACTGGCTTACTTTTTCTGTCAGCACGCAAAATCAAGGTCGGTGGGCAGGAGGGTCTACTTGATTCTTTGCCATTATCTGTGAGGGCAAAATATTTTTTTAAATGTACAATAAATACATTCCCAACACTCCACCAAACTGTCTCACCATCTCATACAGAACCTCTAGGAGAGAATAAAACAGCTAGTGGGCCAAAATGTTTCATTATTTAAAATTGAAGACTGTGGCTTTTGGCAGGAGTGATCTTCTGCAAGAGCATGCTACCCTAAGAATTTTACTGGGGAAAATAAAGTCAGTAGGCACTGTTGTGTGTTCTCTGAAAGCAAGGAAGACTAAAGTCTCACTAACATTGCTAACTCAGGGATAGGGTAGACAGTTTGTAGTACTGAAAAATATGGGAAACTTTAGAAGCATTTAACGGCCAGACCGATTGGAGCTTTGCACTGTGTGCTTATGAATTTCACGACAAGACTCAACCCGATTCATACCGAACATGTTTCTACAGGCCAGTGAAAAACAAAGAACTCCATGTGAATCAGTCTCCCCTGCTCTTTTGCACTCTGTCGTGTCATTTACATACACACATATGTATGTGACACACACGTGTGTGACAAGGATCATACTACTTTTCTAAATAACACAAATTATTTTACAGGGACACATCCAAATACTTTAGAGTGAGGTTTTTATTGCGTTGAGCTTTTTATTCTACTTTCCCTGAAATCAAAGCAGAAACTCTCTTTTTTGGGGGAACAGGAATATATCTCACGGAAATTATCAACTGCTTGAAGCTGCTAGTAGCACTCTTCAAGTTCTTGGAAATTCATTTTCCCCTTAGTTTACTAAATTATCACCTCATCACTAGAATGAAAGTGAGAAGACCCATGGAAGGGGAGAGAACACTTAAGATAACTTAACAGAAGTGATGTAATAAAATCAAAACAGATTCAATGGGCCTGATAAAATATAGTTCCTTAAAAAAAGTTCATAATCAGGCAGTCTCAAAATGCATGTGTTATTTCTCCTTTTAACACTGTATAAATTAATTGCTTACGCTTACACTGTAAAAGTTGACAGATAAGAACAGTAGCATCTTTCACTACTTAGTATCAGGCTGTACCTTTGGGGATGAAAAGATGATCAAATGGGAGACTGTGCCTCTATCTTTTCTTGACATTTATACCACATTAGTTCATATCTGCTTATCTGATCATTAGCTTGCCCTAAGCTATCGCAGCATACATTTGCAGCAGCTTTAAACTGGTGGAACTCAATTGCCCTTAACTGAGGATGTGGGATTTACACCAGTGAGAACATCTGGAATTAATACATTACGTACAGTCCTACAAAAATTGGCTCTGTGGGTGCTGTGCAGAACAATAAGCACATGTACAGTGAATGTAGTTGATGACTAGAAGACACCACCAGTAGCATTTGTAAACTCTGTCTCCCTTTGAAGCTGGAAGATACTATTATGCTCTGGGATAACTTGCATGGAAATTGTGGATGGGCTTTTAATTGCATTTTAATTGGAAACAGTTGCAAGAACAAGCTCCTCTCCTTTATAAAACAATTGTTGTCTCCATCCTAAAAACAAGTCTATACCCTTAATTCAAACTAAACCACATGACTAAATAACAAATGTTTCCACAGAAGTGTTTCCATTGACTACAAAATGTGTGTGTCTCGATAACAGGGAAGCAATAAGGAACAGCATGGAAAGAGGTAACAAGTATGAGACACCGACTTAGCAGTCAGAGAAGTATTTCTCTGACAAAGAAATTGAAAAAGAGAGATTCTTTTTTATTTTCTGTAACATAACTGGGGTTTCAAGCAATGATATTCCATCCCACCTGTGACAGGCAGGACATCATATGTTCTTAGTAAGTTAATCAATCTTTAAAAAAAAAAAGCTATCTCCCACTTGCTCTTCCTAACTAAAGCAGTCGCCTTTTCTCAAGTGAAACGGAATTAACCGTTATTTTGCCCTACACATAGTAATGGGTTCAGTGGAGAATATGCATGGCCTGTGATATACAGATGATCAGACTACATGATCTAGTGGTTCTTCTAGCCTAAAAGTCTACAAGACTGTGAGCAGGGTCCCATGCTATGACACTTTGAATTCTACCTTAAATTCCTACAACATTTTAGGCATAGTTTAACGACAGACAATGATGATGTTTCAACTCATCCACAATACGAATTCCAAGAGCTATATATAATCATAACCAAGCGTTGCTGTGCACACATACCTGAAGGGTTCCAGCCTGGCAGTACCAATTATGAAAGGCGGCTCAAAACACTCTAAAATGACTAACATAACTATCTCTACACCTGTATTTTTGTACAGTGCTGCAGACGCCAAGCAGATGTAGTACCCACGTACCCACCGGCTTTGCAAGGAGACATCCATTCCACATTATCCCCCCGCATTCACACTCCAAACCCGGGCAGTGGCTTGAGAGATCTCCTTGCAAACTCCAAGTACAACATTATAATACAAATGGGAGGTTATATTTCCTCTGTTAGAGTGCTATAAAGAGGACAAACCACCATATATTCATCTCACCTTTCAACCAGCTCAACTTAAAAGAGACAGGGAGAATTTTCTGTCTGTCAGAGAGTCTAAAACTTTGTTAGGACCTGAAAAAGACTACTTGAAAGCACAGCTTTTCTAGTAATGCATATTATGCAGCACATTCACATGCAAGGCTACTATTCATTTAATTTGTAAACTGCTCAGCTTACAGAAGCATAGTTTCATACATGTAACATGAACTACACTGACAAAAGCGTTAGAGCCCGTCAAGAATTTCACTCCGCTTCATCAATGAATATATCATAATAGAAGTTAAAACATGCCATTTTTCTCAGAAGATGACTTACTCAATTTTTATGGGTAATTGAAAAAGACAATTTACTAACCATATCAATTAAATTGCACATTAAAGGAGCTAGGAGCATGGAGTGGATAATACATATCAAAAGCATCTCTAAATTTAGCTTTCTTCACTAGACCTTTGTTACTAGAGAATCAAAGCATTACCTGATGAATTCGTCTTTGATTAAACACAGTAAAGCTACATCTGACTTCAGTTTGACTGTAAGTGTTCAACCTATTTTTTATCCTAATGCATTTCTAGAAAAGGTTAGAGAAATCATAGCTAGAATAGCTAGAAAGGTCAGAGGAATCAAAAGAACAATACAACGATTCTGCTGGGAATTTCTAAATGGTTAAGACAGAAGCAAGGGTATGCATATAGCTGTGCCTTTTTGTGCCAAAGAACACCTGAAAAGGGTAAGAAAAAACTGCTGTGCTGGGCTTTTGTTCTTATGCCAAGAAAATAATCAGGATCCTGCTGTCAAATAAGAAATATTACATTTTTTCAATTTGATTTTGTTTAACCTGAAGTAAAACTACAGTCTATACTAAGGCAATGCATTCTTGTTTGTGTTGGAAATGGTGCCACAAGCAATGATAAAAATCCCATCAAAAAGCTCCTTGTGGAGAAAACAAGGAAAGAAAAAAAGACATTTGAGAACCCAACATTTTTCTTGCACTCAACACTTCCAGTAAAATTTCTCACCACAAGAGGAGGACCTAGCTTAGACCTACCTATGCTGCATATGCCAGAGCTCTAGAAGATGGCCGAAGAAAGAAGATGGGCTATTTCTTAACTGTTTCACACAGATATTTTGTCTTGCTTATTTTCTCTTTCCATGGCATGCTACAAGTCCACCGCTCAGATGCTTCTCTGCGTGAAACTGTAGGCGCAATGTGTTAGTTACAAACACCCACATTTCTGACATGGCTTTTAAACCAAAGTATTATTAGTGCGCCTTCTGGAAATATGCTTGTAGGGCATGAAAGAAACCTTGAGATGTCTCCCTTTGTAGTAAATGTTCCTTTACAAGTCATTGGTTTTGCAGCAATTTAGAGGCATGCGAATCATCCCGAACACCCTAGGTTTTAGATGGCTTTTTATATGCACGTAATTGGCTCTGGTGATCTGCTTATTGTACTATAGCAGAACATATGCTGCAAGTCTTTAAGGATAACGCTGCTAAATGGTATGATACGTCTCCGTATTTCTTGCTTTCGGCTCTTCTGGTCCTGCCATGAAATAATCCCTGAAGCAATAATTCTGGAAGGCAAATTACTTCATGATGAAATAGTCACAGACAAATTACTGCTTAGATAAGCCAAATCCCCTGATCCTGTAACTACGACAAGAAGCAGCAGAACATGGAACAACACTTCCGACGAAAGACGCTCAATGGACGGGAGATTCTTCTTTTAATAGCGAAATCGCAATAACCCCCTTTCAAATCTGCCTCTTTCTAGCTATTTCCCTAATCCTAGGGAAAAAAACTATTTTAATTCCATTATAGTCTTAATTACCGTACTGGTTTAAAAAATAGCCAGGATCCTTCATTCTTTTATAGGCATGCATGAGAAACAAAAAAAATATTAAGACGTGTTTACCTCATTTTTAAATTAATAATTACATGTATTAATAAAGATGTATTAATGTCCATTGTTAAATTTAAAACAAACTGTTGCACATGTGAAATGCACCACAAATGTTTCCCACAGCTGCCACTGAAGAAATAAAATAGGTGAGATAACCTAAGATATACTCTTAGAGCTGAGGTAGTTCAGATGCGATAAAAAGGCAGGCACACCAAATGATGCGATCGCTCTTCTTACCCCTCTTTTTACCCTCGTCTTCAATAGCTGACGACCGGCTTAAACTGTGAAGCCCAACTGTACCGCTGCTAACCAAGTCGGAGATCCTTTATGTACATCACAATTTTTGCCCCTATTGGAACACACTCTGTGCTGCTAACGCCCGAGGCACCTCTCTTCTCCTTCCCTTCGAAGAGCTCCCTCACGTTATCCCGAGGGGAAAGTCGCAGCCTCAGGGAGCGACGTAGGTGCTGAGGCGTACGCTAGAGGTAGGTATCATCAGCGCAGAGCCCCTCTGAAGTTTCGGAGCGCACGGTTCATTAAGCGTTCACATGTAAAATATACTTCCACAGAACTGTGGACAGTGAGCACATTTAAAGTGAGACGGAAATAAAAAGAAATTAAAATAAAAAATTTGGGCTAAACTCCTGAAAGTCACGCTGCACGTCAGGAGTCATTTACCTTTATATTTGCATTGAACATTCAGATGTCTTTCGCTAAGTATAACACCAAGATCAAAACATTTCAGGCTTGCGTTTCCTCCATCTAGCTCGAAAGCCTGCAGCTGAACGAGCGACTAGCTAGCCAGGAGACGTGGCATTAACCAGGGAACCTCAGCGCGTGGAAAGACACCCAACGGGATGGAAATTGCTGAGGCTGAAGGGAGGTTTAGGTAGGCCGTGCTGTAGATCGACAGACCTGTATTGTCTTTAAAGGGGAACCTTAAAAAGACCGTTGTTAAGCCTTCCTAGATCATTCCAGATTTCTTCTCACCTACACGTGCTGGAAAAGGACCCTTGGCAAGATGCGCGCGTACCCCCTAATCGCAGCCGGTGTGCTTCTTTGCTCAGCTTTGCTCCTTTCTCATGAATCAACCTTCCTCCCATGCCCCCTTAACTAGATTTAAGTGCATAAAGCATACGGCAGTCTGACAATTAAGCCACCATGACATATTTTCAGCATAACTGCAGAGCTTTTTTACCCCTACACTTAGCACTGTAATTAACAATGATGTGCTCCTGCAGTTGTTGTAGTGCTACCAAAGGATGCACCGGAGACTGGTGAATAAAGTTATCTGATTGCAAAGATTTCGTTGAGGTTTCGCTGTAGGTAGTCGCATGAATAATTCACAGTGCAAAAGTAAAGGTGCAGTAGCAAAATTATCTGGGGTATATTATAGAGGTTGCCTGTATATGATTATAAACATCTTATTAAAAACAGAAGGAGAGGAAGAGGAAGAAAAAAGGAGGGAGGGAAGACTGATCCAGTCCATAAGCAGCTATGGGTAAGAGACAGTAAAAATTAGTTTTCTAAAGCTATTTAGAGACCAAGCTTTCATTAATCTCAAAGGAAGTTTAAATAGGTTTAATTTTTTGCCTTCACATGTTTTAGAGAGAATTGGATTTACATCAGCTGCACGCATCTAAACGCTCAGTTCTCTTACTGCCCCACCAGTATCTCTGTAGGTCAGCTGCTCTTCTCCCCATAGCCTTACTGCTTGTGGGTTTTTTCGAGATTAGCCTAAAAAACATATTTGATTGATTCACAAGTCCTCCCCTGTTCCTTCTTGCCCAAGATAAGCATGGGATTTTAATGCTGGCTATGTCAGAAGCAGATTACTAAAATCTCTGGGCTGCCTCAGCCTTCACGACAAACAGGGGATGCAGGAGCAATCTGCTGCGCCAGGGACCGCGCAGGCACAGGCACGGCCCTCTCTTCTCGCGCCTCCCCTTCCCTGCACAGTAGGCAACTACTGAGGTCCACATATTTGCCGTCTATTTCTACCTGTTCTTTTGTTTTTCATTTAGTTTAAGCCACGGGAGTACTGGGCAGCTTCCCTCGCCAGCTTTTCCCATACTGCCACAAGGCTGGTTCCGGCTAAACTACATCCGGAGTCGCCCGTTTTGCTAATTCTTTCTGACACGCTTTCCTCTGCTCTCTACTTGGGATTCTTACTAAAGTTCAAGTTCAAGACCTCGGCCCTGATCTCCAAGGCACTTAACGGCCTCCGCTCCGAGCATGTATAAACTGTGCAAGGCTTTGTGAGAGCAGCAGTTAACCACTCCACTTCTCTCGTTGCTACAGCTAGGGAGGAAAAAAAAAAAAGATCTACTTGAGACAAGACTTTCTCAGCTTTCAGTTCAAAAATAAACGCTTACCAGAACCCAGGACCATTGCAAAATTTACTACTTCTGTTCTTGAAGTAAAGAAAATTGTATTAATTTTGTCTTCAGTAAGAAGGACGGATTTTTTGTGTGTTATCATGAGCAAAATACAATTGTGACGCCTGTGACAGGCCCAGCGTGGTGGTTTTCCGCCACCGGCATTCAGTGCATTAGCTCAATTGTGCAACGATTTCCTCAGCGAAGAAACAATGCTGAGACGACAGTATAATACATCTCCCATTTTGAACGCTCACAAACGATCTGCCCGGCATGAGCGCTGCTAATCCCCAGGACAATTGGACACTCCAGCGTGTGGCTGCAAAAGCTAAAACGTGCATTGATTTTTATTTTTTAAACCCCAAACTATTTGCCCAGAGCAGCAGATACCCACAGGTCCTCTGCACATCAGGTAAGAAAGGACTTCCTTCTCCCCATTTTGCTTTCCCTTCCTAGTTCACCTCTCGGCTTGGTGCGTGCGCCAGGTTAGCAGGCGACAGACGACGACACAAAGAGCGCGCTCGTTCGGCCGCCGG